TCCAAGGGTCATTTAACAGGTTAAAAGAAGTCCCATTGCCTAATTTGAAACTGACATTTTCCTGAATGAACTCCCTGATCTCCAAGATTTGCTTCCAAACTGTTGAATCTTGAGCTTTAGGTAAAACAGTCCAGAAATGAGCATGCTGTAAGTATCTAGCATGCAACCATTTCACCTGAAGATTGTCTTTTTTTTTTTCACAAAATCCTAGCATATAGATACTTTGGCTGCAAAATCAATGTGACCAACTGCACTAATATGAAAATTACATTGTCAACCAAATGCAGTAATCTCAAAATTACATTGGCTACATTGTGCACTAATCTGAAATTTACATTGGCAACCTAGTGCACTAATCTGAAAATTACATTTGCTACATTGTTCAGAAATCTGAAAAGTACATTGGCATACAAAATTGGAGAGTAGCATTCCAGCAATACAAAATTGTGCAGTAATCTGTGAGTATAGCATTCAACAGCATTGGAGAGTAGAGTTGCAAAACCTCAACAGAAATAGATATATCAACTCAGTAGCACACAGCGTCCAAAGAGCAAAATTGAACTTAGCACCATCACAACAGATGAGATGGTTAGAAGTAAGACATAATGTATTTGTACAAAAAAATTTAATTAGATCAAATTAGAAGATGCTTGATATGTCTTTTTTTTACCTTTTTTCATAGACATTGGCTACACATTAGCTACTCCAGAGACCAACCAAGTAGTACCACAATTGAACTCAGCAACAACACATCAAAGTGACACCACAATTAGAACACAATCAATACCACCAAATATTACTGAAACAGAACAAATTTTGGTATATTTTTTTTTTTGCTTTTTTTCTGACTCAGTGCCTACTCTTTAGCTACTCCACAGACCAACCAAGTAGTACCACCACAATTAATCTCAGAAACAACACATCAAAGTGACACCACAATTAGAACACCCTTAATAGCTAATATTACTGATATTTTTAATAACAAACTTTTTTCAACTGCCAGCACAGCAGCAAGCAAGCAAATGCCAGTTGCATTGCAAAATTTCAGAGAAAGAGCATTGTAGTACACTCCAAATATTTGATCCAGTAGACAACAAATATCTATCATCAGCAACTGCCAGTTGCATTGCATAAATTATAAGACTGAATTGACAATAGCAACAACAGATGAATTAAAACCATTGACCAACCAAGTAGCATAGTAGCTCATGCTCAGTCAAAGTCCACAGTTTGTGTACACAACAACATCCAAACCACGTGCACATAGTATAATATTTATTTTATCTTTCTGTCCTTATTGTTTTCTTGATTCCATCTTACAATATTTATTTTATCAAGTCCATTATTATAATATGCTTTGGTGCTTTCATTTATTTAAATCACACCACTTGGATTAATAAATTTTACAACTCCCAAACTTCCAATGGGCATCAGAATCTTCTACACTATAAAATGTAAATTTCAGGCAGCTGTAATATATCACGTAGAGAGAGAAGAGTTTTAAGGCCATTGAAGGGACGATAGAGGCAAGCACTGCACAACAGAGATTTATAACCAAACTGAAAAAATTAAATAGATTGTTTGTATATTGAGTTCCCAACTTCCCACTGTTATATCTATAATATATGATCATTGGAGGTATATGTAATATATGATTATTGTGTATTTTATTTAAAGGTTGACCAAGTTAGTTGTACTTAAGTACACATGGGCATGGGTCTTATAGTGATGAGAAACCAGAATTTTAATTATTAAAATTTTATTTCACTATTAATGTTTTTTTTTAAGATCAAGTCTTTCTTTAAATTCTTACTTTGAATGAGTTAGAGAAGAGCCTTATGAAACATTAAACCTGTATCGGCTACTGACCATGGTGGTGATCTATTTTGAGTTTCAATTGGGAACTCATTATTTGAGTTTGGGTTGGAAACTCATGCTTTATCCATTATGTGGTTAATGACGAAGTGTCATGGTTGATATTTCAGGGGAAGTATGAATCACTTAAGAATAAAATATGATAATCTATCCACCATTCCTATTGCGAGATTGCTTTCAAACAAACACACAACAACAAACAAAGAAAATGCAGAGATCGATAACACAATTGCAAAGAAATACCTTTGATATGCTCGCCAAAGAACAACTAGGGTTTTAGATTTACGTCTCAGAAGTAGAGATCAGAGAGAAGCCAGAGCAAAACCTTTGCAGAGAAATACCTACGATGTGCTCGCCACAGAAGAACTAGGGTTTCAGATTCGTGTCACAGAAACAGAGAACAGAGAGAAACCAGAGCAACACAAAGCTTGGATCTGAAGTCGTGAACGAAGAACTAGGGTTCCTTTGCTCTTTCAATCGCCTCAAACAAGCTCAGAGATCAGAGAGAAACGAGATGAAGCAGAAGTGACCTCTACCGAAATGAGAGGGGAAAACCTTATTAGGGTTTCGAGATGTAAATCGCCCTTCAATCGAACCAGGAAGTAAAGTTTCAATCAATGAAGCCTTGGTCAAACAATAGAACAGACATAAACAATAGGGGACACTATTAAATTTGGATGCGGAAGTAAGAAATGCAAATAGAATAAGGGAAGAGAGAAAAATGCAAATACAAAAAGGGAAGAGAGAAAAATGGAGAACACAGGCATATACATGGTTCGGCACTAAGGCTTATATCGATGGACAAAGGGCCACTAAAGGCTACATTTCTATTATTCAGATGTGTATTTTGCTCGAGTACAAAGAGCCTATATATAGGCATGGTGAAGATAAGAATATATGAAAGGTGTACAATAGTTAAAGGAGGCACCTTGATTCGTGGAGGATTATATAGAAATATTTATAGTTTGAAGGAAAAGCCAGAACTACGCCGGGAAAGGAATATGAAGACATACAAAATATGCTCCATGATAATATTTCCAATACTCCCCCTCAAATTCTAGATGGGATTACAAGAACAATTTGGCTCTGATACCATGTTAAATTTGGATGCGGAAATAAGAAATGCAAATAGAATAAGGGAAGAGAGAAAAATGCAAATAGGTTAAGGGAAGAGAGAAAAATGGAGAACACAGGCATATACATGGTTCGGCACTAAGGCGTACATCCATGGACAAAGAGTCACTAAGGGCTACATTTCTATTATTTAGATGTGTATTTCACTTGAGTACAAAAAGCCTAGATATAGGCATGGTAAAGATAAGAATATATAGAAGATGTACAATAATGGAGACACCGTGATTGGTGGAGGATTTTATAGAAATATTTATAGCTTGAAGGAAATAAACTGGATCACCGTAACTGGTGGAGGATTTTGCTCCACGATTATATAGAAATATTTATATATTTCAATAGAAACAACAGATTTCCAGAGAAATTTGTTCGATCCGTGGTCTACGACCATGATTAGAGAGGAGAGATGTAAATCGCCTTCAATTACTTCAGACGAGAGCAGAGAGGAGAGAGAAACGGAGGCCAAAAATGATAGGGTTTTGAGAAAAAAATATGTTATATGCCTCTTGCCTCTGCTACAGTATCTGATATAAGTTTGATATAGGTTTGGGCTTCTGATATCTCCGCTACAGTGTACATAACACCAATATCAGCAATATGGTGATATGGGTTTTGGGCCAATAATCTGATATGTTATTATACTGTTGCGATTTAAATTGGTCTGCCGCAACTATGATATAGGCTCAAATTGTGAAACCAAAACACCAAAACCAATATCAAACCCAATGCCAAACGGGCCCTTAAGTTTTTAGTATAGTTTGTCATTTAACATGCTATAAAAGTAGATCAGGTTCTAAGCTTGAATCTCACTGCCAACTTGGTAATCATAATTGATATATGTGGTTAGCCGACTTACCGTAGAGAATTTGTCCATGCCTGATGAGGCGTGGTTGAGGATATAAATAATCAAGTGACACTGTCTAACAATTTAACCTTTTGGAAAAGCTGATTGTTAACATTTATTGAAGCAAGCAGATTGAAAACACAAGTCTTCTTTAAGAAAGACTAGGGTTACTCCAATCAACGTCAAAGACTAGATTTCTAAAGGAAAATCTAGAAGAAAGCCTGAAGAATTGTTTAGAAACTGATAATATCTCAAATTATACTGATTTAGGATTGATTACAGCAGATAAGAGGGCTTTTCTTACTATTAATGGCACTACCTTTTCCTAGACTGACTATCAAAATGCCCATAAAGCATTAATGACAACTTATACTATTCCCAGGACAGTTTCAGATTTCCCATGTAATAATTAAAATCTTGACTAGACTCAACATCAGTCATGAACATGGAACTCGCAGATTCAAATGGTGTGACCTATGAAAGGGCTTGCTGTAATTTTTTATTAGGATATTATGATGGTGCTAACCTCCCACTCAGCGATTATGCTCTCTTTTTTTTTTTTTTGGTTGCGTTTGCCTGTGCCAGAGAGAGAGAGATGGCAGGTTTCTCTCGTCTGTAGTCTGTACCATACTACCACATGAAATTAGCATGTGATCGGAATTTGCCTTTTGGAAGGAGGGAAAAGAAATTCAGTATGTGATCCCTAAATCTGAGGTGGCAATCCCTAAATTCAGTTGGGGTTTGAGCCCCACCCTTTCTACCCTTAAAAAAGAAGAAGAAGAAGGCTGTAACCTAGTGGTACTTTCCTCGCATTTTAAAGTAGAAGGTCAAGAATTCACGTCTTCATAAGAGCAGAGCAAAGTGGGTGCGTCAGTCTCAACTAGGAAGAAAAGAAAAATTATTGTATGGAAATTTAAATGACTCCATGAAGGGAAAACAAAGAAAAAGAGAGTATGTGAAGTGGAACGAAGCATGCCTATGAAATGTCAATTTATATTCTGTCTTTTATTTATTTGTTTATAATTCTAATGCTAACATTGTTTTAATATTGAGAAAGCAGATATGCTTGAGATTAATGGTTATTATTCAGAGGCAAAGATATGGCAATAGGTTTTTTTGTATTCCTTACTCATTTTCTTCAATTTTTCAGATTTGGGATACAGCTGGGCAAGAAAGGTTTCAAAGCCTTGGTGTGGCTTTTTATCGCGGAGCAGACTGCTGTGTTCTTGTGTATGATGTAAACGTCATGAAATCTTTTGATAATCTCAACAATTGGCGGGAAGAGTTTCTGATTCAGGTATCATTAATCCATTGGTGATTCAGTTTATATCAGATTTCAAAGAACCAGTGATTGAAAGTGAGTTTTTGTGGTTTTGATGTTCAGGCCAGCCCGGCTGACCCTGAAAACTTTCCTTTTGTTGTATTGGGCAACAAGATAGATGTTGATGGTGGCAATAGTCGGGTGGTAAGCATTTTCTCTTCCGTTGACATGCGTTTACTCTCTCATTGAAGGTGTTCTGTTGGCAATCTAGGATGTATGTGCAATCATCATTTTTGGCAATTAAATGGGTTTTTCTATGGGCTCTCTCTTTTGATATCAGGTTTCTGAGAAGAAAGCAAGGGCATGGTGTGCCTCCAAGGGAAATATACCTTACTTTGAGACTTCTGCCAAAGAAGGATTCAATGTGGACGCTGCTTTCCAGTGTATAGCTGATAATGCTCTCAAGAATGAGCCTGAAGAAGAAATGTAAGGATTTTTTTATGCACCTGAATTGTTTGATCTGTTGGGTACGCAAGTATTAGCAACTTCCACCTCCCTCCCTCCCAAAGGAAAAAAGTATTTAAAGTTTTTGGAAAGTCGAAATTGCACTTTGCTTTAATAGTTGTGTAAGACGTAGTAGAGGTTTCATCTAGACAGGACAGTAAAGTCTTTGCACTAGTGTCTTGTTGTATATACCTACGTGTGTGTGTGTGTGTGTAGATAGATTAGGAGAGAGAAAGAGAGAGATTCTCTTTTTGTTATATCAGTTCTCCTTTTTAATGATTAGTGGCTTTGTAGTTGAACATTAAAATTTAGGGATAATTACGCTTACCTCCCCTGTAGATTGCTTAAATAACAAGGACCTCCCTGATGGCTTCAAAAATAACACTGACTGTCAGTGTTGATTTTGACGCGAATGTGTTAAATGTCTATTATAACCATTGTACTTTTATTAATTCAACGTATGGATAAAATAGCATTTTCAAGCTTTCTAAGGGCATTCTCAGGTTTTAAGTAAATTTTGAGCATGATATCAGTAAACAAGAGTGTTATGACAGGGGAGGTAAGGCTTTAAACAAGCCGAGCCGAGTATTGGGATATTTGAGCTCGGCTCGGCTCTTCAGCATGGTGTTTGAGCTCGGCTCGAGCTCGAGCCTAGCTCACACCTCAGTGTTTGAGCTTGGCTTGAATTTGTTCACGAGCCATGCGAGCCGAGCCCGAAGCTCGTTTAAGAGCTATATCACACATTCTTTATATATATACTCCGTATCATATATGCATGTTGAAAGTACAAGTTTACACAAAAACCCAGATTTCCAACAATCATATCTATGCATATGTATAGAAACCCATATTTCACAGGTTTAAATAGAAATCTAGATTTCCAACAATCATATCTATACATATATTATTTTTTATATATATATATATATATATATATATATATATATATATATATTACACCAAGAAAATAGAAATAAATTATGTTGATCTGCGTTCCAAAAAATAGCTTTCTCCTGGATTCCATCATTGTAGATATGTGAGAGAAGAGAGACGCTGATAGAAGGTCGATCACTGTATATATGTATATATCTACGAGAAGATAGACTCTGGTAGAAGATGCTGAGAGAGAGAGAAAAAGACGCTGCAGATGATTCGAAGATGCAGCGCGATGTAAGAGATGTATGTTTAGGGTTAGGAATTAGGATTTCTTTATATATATGTGTGTGTGTGTGTGTGTGTGTGGGCTCATGGGTCTGATTTTTTTTATGGGCCTTAGTTGGGTAAGAGCTAAAAACATAATTCTCTTTCACTTTAAGTGGCCTTACATAAATAGATAAATAGGCCTCATGTATTAAAATAAATGTATAGGTTGTCACTAATATATGTCTTTAGTTATATATTAATGTGTATATTACTACATATGTTTGTGAATGCGTTTACAATCTTTGTTTACGAACACAAACGAGTTTTGTTCACGAACACAAACGAGCCGAGCAGGGGGTGGTTTGAGATTGGTTCATTTATTGATCGAGCTTGAAATTTCTGTTTGAGATTGATTCATTTATTAAACAAACACATGCGAACCGAGCTCGAGCTGTTCGTCGAACGTTTGGTTCATTTACAGCCCTAAGGGGAGGTCAATATTACTCGGACCTAAAGGTTGGTGTTATATTTGAAGCTAGAGGTAAGGTCCATGTTATTTAGGCAATCTACATGGGAGATTAGTGTAATTATCCCTAAAATTTGTCTGCATTTGACAACCTGTTGTAGTAGATTTTAATTATTACATTTTTTTGGCACAATTAAATCCTTCACGGTTTGAAACCTGTATACTTTGTTTTGTTTAACTGTGAAGAATATTCCATTTATGCCTTCATTTATTTGTTCAAAGCAACAAAAATATGAGCGTCCGTTTAAAATTTGATTTGATGTTTATCAGTCCATGACAAGTGAATTTACCTTGGAAAAATTGATGTACCATTTTACTTATCAAAAAAAAAAAAAATTGATGTACCATTTTAAAAGTGCTAGCAGCATCAAGGCACTCTGTCTCTCTGGATTACAAAGGGCTACATTCTTCTATTTTTAAATATATTTTTTTAAGGATTCAAAGTATCAGGTTTAACTCCAACGCATTCATAATTTAATTTTCATGACAGGAATGTAATATCTGGCATGCATCCCAATGTAGGGTTTACTTGTAACAAACTTTTGATTTCTGAGCTAGGGTCTATAAAGTACAATGCATAGTCTTGTAGACTGTATTTACCATATTGTGTCTATTATAATTGCTCTCTTATGTAGTCCCATAAAAATATAACATTTGGTGATGTACAGAACTTATTCTTGGAATACTAATTTGTTACTTTGATCATTGTGAAAGATATCTTCCCGATACCATTGATGTTGCCGGTGGAGGGAGGCAGCAGAGGTCTACAGGCTGCGAATGCTAAATTAGTACATGATTGGCTCTGCTTCTTGGATTGCAGATACAAGTGATTAATATTTTCACCCAGTTGCAAGGAATATTAATATGAGGGCTATTGAGTTCCCATGTGCATAATTAGCGCATCAGAGAAAGCTATTGATTATCTTTATTATTTGTTCATTCAACTTAAAATGTTTATATTTATGTGTGATTTTCATGACATTGTGATTTTACTGGTAAATGGCACTCTTTTGTTTGTGCTCAACTTCTAATGAGTATGTCAAGTGCAGCAGACTAGCAGTCTCCACTGCACGAGCACAACCCTTCGATTTGTGGGCTCCACAGCTCGTATGATGTATACATCCGTCCGTGACTACAAATACAACATTTTGTACCCTTAAATCGTTCCATTGATGGTCCAATCGTGTCAAAACTAATGTTTAGGTTTCTCGTAATATATTAACACATCCGTGTGTGTGCGTGTGCATGTGTTTATTTATTTATTTTTAAATCGAAGAGTCTAAATTGGACTAGTGGTCCAATACCATTGAATAATTTTTCGTTTCTCATGCTACCTTGTTCCAATTTAGTTTTGAGATGACTTCTTTGAATGGTACAACGTGGGAATGACATTATAAGGTTTTTTATTTTAATTTTTTTTAAGTGGGAACATCCCTAGTTTTTAGACAATTGAATCGTTATTCAATGTCTTACTTTTAAGTTTTAAAGTAATGGTGTCGAAATTAGAAATGCGTGGAATCGTTACGGCACGCGATGGTACCATTTTTGCAACAGGGGATCCTGACGCACGAAAGAGCATTGCCCTAGATGCATCTTTAAGTTCCACTGAATGTGCATCAGCTGAAGTACTATTTAAAAAATAACACATTGACATCTACTCTCATTTATAATTTTTTTTTGTTGTCCAAGAGTTCCTCGAATTTCCTTCAAATTTTCAAACTTATCCTTCTGCTTCAAATTTTAAGTTACGGCACGCGATGGTACCATTTCTGCAACAGGGGATCCTGACGCACGAAAGAGCATGGCCCTAGATGCATCTTTAAGTTCCACTGAATGTGCATCAGCTGAAGTACTGTTTAAAAAATAACACATTGACATCTACTCTCATTTATAATTTTTTTTTGTTGTCCAAGAGTTCTTCGAATTTCCTTCAAATTTTCAAACTTATCCTTCTGCTTTCATAAAACATTGAATCTCTAATTTGGCCAGCACACTCGGTTTACATTTTTTTTTTTTTCCCTTCTGACTAACCAAATCATAAAAAGGATTATATGTACTCATAACTAATCCTTGAAGATATCATTTTTCTCAGTTTAATGTTTCATTTGTTTGGATATAAAATATTTTTTTTATTTTTTGATGTTTGGTTGTTCAAAATTTAAGCAAAGTATTTTATTAAAACCTAAGAAAAATAACTAAGGAAAAATTTTTCAAGACCTTTGTCAAACACCAAAAAATAAAAATAAAAATAAAAAAAGTATATTTCACCTAAAAAAGTTTTATATATAAATAATTTTACATCCAAATAAACGAAGCCTAATTATTCTCAAATAGATTTTCTCTAAAAGAATTCCCACTACCAAATTGTAAATCATTTAAAAGCCAATAAATTTGATTTTTGTAAATTATTTTTCACCAAAACTATCAAAGACCGACACTTCGCCTAACTAGATGTCATGATTTCTCAGCCTCGATTAAGGCTTGTATACTTGATTCTTTGTGGCGGGAAGAGTAACACATCTTGTTTTTTTTGTTTTTTTTAAGATTAACCTGTAGTGTTTGGGGCCTCCCAGGGCTCAGGAAGGATGCCTCCCATCCCGGACTAAATAAGTCGTTGAGTATGGCTGCAAAGGCGTAACCTCAAAGAAATTGTTTGTACCCAATGAGAGTCGAACCTCATATCTGATACTTCATGAAGCACCAGGGCCAAGTGACCCATTGGGCCAACCCCTTGGGCCATCTACATTTTCATCAAATTTGCTCAATCACAAATTAGGCTGTTTTTTTTCCTTAACACACATACAGAGTAGAAGAGAGAGAAGGAGGCATCTGCCCCAAGACAACCAAAACATATTTTTTTTTCTTGCAAAACCTCTTAAATGTGGATCAATAATATCAGACTGCGGCACAAGACAGCCAAAAATTTTCAAAGTGGAGCTATAATCTATAGGTAAACTCTGTTGCATTTAGTTTCATCTGACATAAGTACTTGCTTTTCGCATAATGCCAATGAATCAACCAGTGCAAGCAGCTTTAGAATACCATATATACTGACATTTCCTAATTGTTAACAATAAACTCTACCGGCATCTCGACTTCTTCTTTCTTTTTCCTTTGTTTTCATTATTCAAGTGGATTACCTTTGATCAATGTATTTTCTACAGTTCATCTTTCGTTTTTTGATCCTGGCCTTTCAAATTTTTGTTGATGAGTGCTGCCAAGTCCTTCAAGTTAGACTTCGTAGGAAGTTTGATCTGCATTGTAAAATTTAACATTAGGTAAAAGAAGGCTAAGGAATATGAATGAGAAACGAACGGTGGATATGTGATGAAATAATTACAGGATTGGATTTGTCACCCGCCGGGTAGAGAAGAAGTGTTGGATAGTCATCTACCTGCAACACAAATTACCATAAACTCTTTATCAGACACGGTCTTTCTAGAGTCACCCATAATTCAGATAGCATTAATGTAAAATTGATAGTAAAACTCGTAAATAAAATGTCAGCATATCTAAAGAGGTAGGAGACAAGGATTCCTTTTTGTTCCTCTCCTTCTGTGCTTTTCTTTTTCCTTTGTCCCTTTCTTCCTCGTATTCTGAAGGGTGATTAGTTCCACTCCATAATTTCGAAACAAGTTAAAGAATGCTCCATAATATGTTATTGGCAAAGAAACGTCATGGATAAAAGGGGTTGATCAAGTCTTTTTTAGAATTCATTTGATCAATATTAATTTGATTCAGGCTATACATAAAGTATAGAAACTTGGACAAATTCCTAATAAAAAAATTATTAAATAAATAAAAGAAAGAAAAAGCTAAAATGACAGGTTTAGTTGATTGCTTGAAACAACGAAATACCACAGTTGACCGACTTCAAGAAATGGGAATAAGAACTATAAGTAAAAGGACAACAGATGTGAGTTTGATGAGGAGGGCAACAGGTGAAAACCCTTCATGGATCCACTCATGCAAGAATCCAATCAGTCTAGGGCACTCAAATACAAGTTATGAGATGGGCAGAATGCCAGAAAAGTACTAGAGCATATTGCACAAGATAAATGGATAATGAAGGTGATGACCACCTCAACGAGCTTACTAATGCTTGACCTGGATTATCAATCTAGATGGGGCAGAATGCCAGAAAATTATTAAAGCATATTACATTAGATAAATGGAAAATAAAGACAGACAATTATCTCAAGAAGCTGACTGATGCTTGACCTGGATCATCCAATAGTCTCAAAAGAATTGACAATGAAGGACATCCATAAGAAATTTAGCTTGGTTTCATTTGATTCTGATTGTCAAATAGAAACTATCAGGGAAAACCTGTGATATTGCTATGCAGAAATTAAACCTTAAACATGTCCACAAGACAAATAGAAAATGATATGAACCCTTGACGGGGCCTTTTAACATCATGTGACAGAAATAGTTCCATTTTGTTTTACATAGCATCTCAGAAAGTCTAATGACGCATATACTAGTGCAGTTAGCAGATGAATCAAAAAAAATACTGCACAGGGAAGGCGGGAAGAGTGGGAACGCTAAATTTCCTCCTTTTTGTAAGTAGACAAAGAGGAGGTAACTCCACATCATCCAAAGTACATATTATGCAGTCCTTCCACAGACACCACATGGACACTAAGTCTCAGGCTTCCAAGCTTGGTGAAGTCTTCTAAAGGCACAAACTTCCACCAATACTTGAGTAAATTGTTTTCACTAAGCTTCAAGTGATTCTGGTGTGCTCAGTGCATTACACTGATATACAGGGGTGTTAGAAGAACTGTTGCTGATGTTGCCAAGCATGTTTGGTTTATGACTCTTGACATTATGGATCTTTCTTTGCACAATGCAGTCCAGTTGGGGTGATTTTTTATTTGCTTTTGTTCTTATGATTTGTTTTCGTATTGGTTTTTCTCCATGTTCCATGAGTTGTAATCTTTTTTTTTTTTTTTTCGTCCAACAAACAAAAAACACAAAAAACAAAAACAAACCCAAACCACTAAGCACCAGAATCCAGATCAATAACCTTCAGCACCTCGGATGGCCAAACATCCCAACTTACATCACCAGATTGAGAGGCCATTGCCAATTGACTGATAATGTGAGCAACCGAATTATTTTCCCGCGGTGTCCAACCAAGTCGAAAATGAGAATTTGTCTCCAACATGAACTGGACGTCTTCCACTAAAGGAAATGAGAGGGGGTCCTGAGGATGGGAGGTAGAGATGGATAAGCAATCACCTTCTATATCTACCTTATCGTAACCCCATTGGATAAGCATCTTCATTCCTTCACGGAGAACCCAAGCCTCAGCGACCTCTGAACTGGCCACATGAGAAGAAAAAACAGATGCAATTCTAATTGGATTACCATTAGAATTTCTCAAAAGAAGACCACCGCCAGCTTCATTTGAAAAAGATCTAAAGGCTGCATCAATATTGAGCTTAACTCGACCCTCAGTTGGAGGAAACCAGTGAAAGGGAGAAGCCAACCGAGAAGAAGAAATCGTGGAAGGAAAACTGTGATCAAGGAAAGCCCAAAAGTCATTAAAATTAAATAAAGCTTGTTCCACAATGTTCTTTGGATTTCATTTTATACCATTGAAACAAAAGTCATTTCTTGGCTTCCAAATCTGCCAACACATAAATGAAAGCAGGCTTATAAGATGGTCAAAATATTCAGCTTTCTTCCACTGATCCGAGAATTTGCACCAAACCGCCTGCCAAGAGTTAGAAGCCTCATTACTGAAGTCCAGACACAAGGGACTATATTTCCAAGCAGCTAGAGCAATAGGGCATTTACAAAACATATGAAGAGTAGATTCATCTTCCAGCCCACAAACTTTACAAATAGCTTCAGGCACGACCTGATATTTTTAAAGATTCAACATGACCAGTAAGCGATCCAAACAACTTTGCCAAATGAAAAATTGAATCTCTCTCTTAGTTTTAATTTTCCAAATTTCCTTCCATTTGGGGAGAAACTCCTGGTCAATGCTACGACATGGACGTCCTAAAGATTTAAAAGGTTGAAGATCAGAATCAATGACTGCCTTATAAGCACTTCGAACACTATACATCCCATTTCGAGATAAACCTCAAATTTTGACATCTTCACCACCATACTCTCTAAGGGGAATTGAAGGATAAGAGCTGCATCTCTTTGATTGAAAATTCTGACAACTAAATCTTTCTTCCATTGCTTGAGATCATGATATATAAGGTCACCAACAGGCTAGTGGCCTAGCGGTACCAAGCCTCTACTTCTCAAAGAGAGGTCAGGGGTTCGAGTCTCAATGAAGGCATGTGTGTGTGAGTACCAACTAGGAAAAAAAAAAAAGAAGATATATAAGGTCCGCAACTTTAGAAATTGAATAGTATCCAGGATTGGGGGATGTCACATAAAAATTATTCGGATCAGGAAGCCAGGGATCCTTCCAACAATCAATTTTACTTCCATCCACCACTCTCCACTTCCATGATCTACTCACAAGCGCTTTTGCAGCACAAAGTCCCTTCCACACCCAAGAAGCTGACTTACGCCAATAAGAATTAAGAAAGGAACAGGACGGGAAATACTTACTTTTAAGAAAATGAAGTAAAGAACCATCAGAACTTTCCATTCTCTAGGCTAATTTGGATAGTAATGCAAGATTAAATGCTTGTAAATCTTTAAAGCCCAAACCACCAATAGCCTTTGGAGTACAAAGCTTCAACCACCCAACCCACTTGATATGAGAACTAGATTCCTTTCCACTCCACCAAAAATTCATCATCTTTTTTGAGAGATCATTACACATAGAAACAGGAAGTTTAAAGCATGACATACAATAATTGGGAAGCGAAGCCACAATAGACTTAATAAGAACTTCCCTTCCTGCTTTTGAAAGCATCTCCCCCTTAACTTGTTTAATTTTTGAACTAATTCGCTCCGAGAGAAAATTAAATGAAGCTAATTTGGAGCGGTCAAGAATCGATGGAAGACCCAAACAAGCATTTTTCCAACCATTTTCATCTATGCCCAGGATGCCGCTTAATTGAGATAGGAGCTGGGGAGAGACATTTGGACTAAAAAATGTCCCTGACTTATCATAATTGATTGAATGACCGGAGAGAGCTTCATATTTAGAAAAAATGCTCTTAAGATGCATAACTTCTTCGTAGTTAGCATGGCAAAAAAGTAAAGCGTAATCCGCAAAAAGGAGGTGGGTAAGGGTAGGAGATTCACGGCTCACCTTAACCCCCACTTATATGATTTCTGTTAATGGCATTTTGGAGAAGCAAAGATAGCCCTTCAGAGCAAAGATAGCCCATGAGTTGTAATGTGAGGGTATGCCCTCATTTTCCATTGTATAAAATTTTCCATTACAATAAATGACACAACTAGCTTATGAAAAATACATATATACATATGTATATGTTTATCTTTATGTTATATATTTTTTCCCCGGAAGTGAAAGCAAACACACACACCCATACCCACAACATGTCCCCACTGGGGAGGAGAGATATATATTTACTTTATATCTATATTATAAAACTCCACAATTGAATTAGCTCAAAATTATTATTATTAATTTTTTAGTAAGTCAAATTTCACTAAAGGCGCTCAAAAAGGGAGGGCTCCCAAAGGAAACAAAAGCCCGTCCACGACGACACTATAACTTTAAGATATCCACGAAATCCAAAAGAAGATCCATAGAATTACAATTCCACCCATTTACCGAAAAAAATAAAGAAGACAGTACATTATATTTGAGAGACCAAATAGGAGACTCCCCCCTTCTCTCTCTCTCAAAGGATCTCCTATTTCTCTCCCGCCACAAATCCCACCATAAACTAAGGGGAGTGGCCCCCCAAGCTATTGTCAGGGGCTTATTTTTTATTACTTATATAATGTTGGGTGTTTATGTGTAATTTATGAAACTTACTAGTATAAATAGAATGTGATGGAAGGATGAAAGCATTCTTCCATTCTTTATCTCTTTCCCCATCTCTCTCTCTTTTTCTCTCCAACTCTTTCTTCTCTTCTTCATCTTCTACTTTACTCTTGTTTTGATTATCTCATGAAGTCATGGTATATCAGAGCATGGTTTGTAAAGCTCTCTGTGTGTAGTTGAAACCCTAGGGCAAGTTTGTGTGAACCCTAGTGGGTGTGACGGGTTTTGAAGAGATTCCAAGATAGAATTTGTTTGCAATCTCGATCAGTGTTTTTTTCGTGTTTGCGTGGTTTTGCAACATTGGTTTTTTCTTGGTCGTTCGTGATTCTGGTATGGTCTACTTTGTTGCTTTCTAGGGTTTGTGTGGTCACGGTCCTTTTATGCATCTCAGAAGACGGTAATTTCTCTAGTTGCAATTGTTTGTGTGTTAAAGAGGTGGTTCTTTACAT